TCACGAATTATCGGAATTGAAATATATAAATCAAACTGTCTGTGGGACAGCATCGCCAAAACAGAAGTGACAGGCACCGTTGCTGGTTAATCGTCTTGACTATGTTTTTACCTAACCACGATATCTTCTATCTATACATATCAATGTACGATTTCACTGCGTTGTTATAAAGGTGAGGAACACATTTACTTTGTGCTCTGACAAGTTCAAATACCTACTAGTCAAATAATTACGATTGTAATTTTCTATGCATATCTTAATGTTGTACTACACGGTAGTATGTTTAGAAAAGCTACATATAGCGGCTACATTTAATAGTCTATTTCTTACACTAGATACCAGCCGATACCCCCCCCCCCCCGCTCATAGAGACTGCGTATTACAGTTGATTATAGTTCCTGGGCTCCCTGTGATTTGATTTCAAGAACTTCAAGAAGGCGGCATAAGAGACGTGTTTGCAAAGGTAAGTTCTCCAGTTTCTACAAAATTGAATGTATTTTGGGGTACGATTGGTGTACATTCCGTGACGTACGTACGGACGTGAATATTATGATGATTGCCAGCTTTATATTCTTGTGAAAAGCCAAAAAAGCAGATTAATTCATGGGGACATAGTTTCAAGTAAATCGTTATCCGGCCTTTTGCTTGTGTCGCGATTTCCGAAATATCCACAACTCGGGGGGGGGGGGATGTCCCTGTGTCGATCAACTTATTCATTATATAATAGTAGGTTGCCTATGATTATATTCGTATTTTTATGTTGTGAGCATTAAACTGTTAGTTGTAATGAAGATTTTGCCGATCTCGTGCGATTCAACATGGCCGATGTGCAGTGACAACACGTGTATATGGACGGTCGGTCGAGTAGTCTGCAACGGACCATGAAATCGCCCGGCGTTTTTTCGGCCTTTTTTTTTATAGTTTTTTTTAAAATATTTTAGATATTTCATTCACTCCTGGCGCCTAAAAGAGTTTAATTTATATTTTACCGTTGTCATTGACACCTATTGTGAA